ACACCACATTTTAATTACAATTAAAATTCTTAACCTCTGCTCATTGTCGCGCATATATCACCAACTTTTTTTAACACATTATTAACTTTCAATTAATTAGAATATTTTGTCCTTTGTAACTATTTAGACCCGAACATTCTATTTGCTTGGTTTGAAATTAGGGCTAAATATTTTGTCGAACTTTAATATTTATTTTTTCTTATTTAAAATCTTGAGGGGGTAAATAAGTCTTTATGCTCTTCTAATATTTTTTTATGCAGAAATTGTCATTAGCGACGAGACATGTTAATTAATTGAAAGTTCGTGTAAAAATGTAACAAGAAAAAGTTGGGGATATAACTCGATATAAACAAATATGGTGTGTAAACGTTATGTACCGTAACATTTAAGGTGTGATTTGTTTTTTCTATTGGGGGATTTTGATCGGTTTAACTATTTATAATGATGAATTTGTAAATATTTCTATTTTTTCCCTGCAAAATGTGCTTTTTTGTTGCAAATTGGTAAAATACAATATGGCAATGTAAATTTGCAAAACATGGTATGCACATAGTAAATAGATTCAAATATAAGGTATATTTTGTATATTGCACTTGTTTTATTTACGGAGAAAGTAACGACGTTTAGTCCACCATGACACTTAATGGAAGTCGCGTTATATTTTATACGTTACTTTTAGTAACCGAGTGGCCAATTACAAAACTTTAATAACTTCATTGACTAATAGTGTCTTGAAAACTCTTGAAGGACCAATTTGAAATTTTAACTAAACTTCAAGGACTGATACTGTATTTACTATTTAAATAGAGAAATATAATATAACTATTTTAGGGGAAGTGGAGAGGAAGGAGATACCAATCTCTGAATCGTTACCCTTGACGTTGAAATAACAATCTTTAACCAACCAATTATGAATTTATATATCCTTGTTTGGGAGAGATTTTTGGGGGAAGAATTGATTTTGAATAGTGATATGATGGGAAATGTGTGGTTGAAAAAAAAAGAAAAAATTATTGATGTGATGGAAAATATTATTTTATTGAAGAATGTGTGGTTGAAAATGAGAATTGATTTACTGTAGAATTTGAGAATAAAAAACAAACACAATAGTTGAC